GATCCCATAGTGTCTTGAATGTATGACAATGCGATTTAGTTCGTGTGTTATGAGTCTGCGGTTCGTTTTGAGAAGGCTGAGAGTGAGTATTAAGCAACGAAATGTGTTGCATACTATCAGCTTTGACTGGCAGTGGTGTAAAATTGCGTTAGCAGTGACTGTTATCTACTTAATGCAGTGCACTCCATAATTCGCTTAGACAATAAAGGCTAAAAGCCACCTCTTTTAACAGAGATTTCGTGGCTTCATAAAGTCACAATATTTCTGGAAAGCGTGCCTTGTGTTCAATATAATGTTCATTTGCTTTGATATTCAAGCTCCTTCCATGTCATTACGGTCGCTATATTGCTCCTCTTAGCCCTCTGGCTGCTTTATTACGACGGTGTTAACGTTGCTATGTTTAAATGCCCGAAATGGGATGAAACTTCAGATTTTTGTCATGTTGACATTGCGTAATTTACGTGGATTTTGTTTCTTTATTTTTGAACAGCACAGTTGTTTGCTAACGTGCCTGAAATATTCACGTACTGAATCTTTCAAGTTTAGCTTTGAAATTCATCCCTGCGATTTCCCATATGCGGTTTAGTTCGTTATTGCGTTATATTCACACATCATTTAATTCAAATAATTTTAATTTTAGAGTTGATGAAGCCTGCAAAATGAAATTATAAAATATGATACGCCAAACGTTTGTTTCTCCTACTTTTGATTGTGGTGAATTGTTTATATAAATTTAAATAGGGTACAATTTTGGCAGTGTTGCTTTTTGACGACTAGGTGGTTTATCTCGCAACTGATATGACTTTTATCCAGCGGTGTTTAATGTGATTTGCTAGTTATTTGATTGTTTGCATGTGCTTGAAATTTTAAGAGTTTTAATGAGACTGAATTTTCGAATTTTAAGACCTTTAATCGTCACCTTGTGTCAGTCCTGTCAATTTGGTCAGCTGCCAGGTAAGGCACTCCCTTAGTCGTCGAAAGCAAGCGTATCCGGTCGTTAATAACAGTAGAGAGCAGGAT